TAAGAAATGTTACTGAATAAAATATGTTGGTTCTAATCAACTAACGTTTAAAAAGGCAGTTCACATTTTAGAAAATGGCTCCATTATTTTGAGAAGCAGAAAGCTGTGAAATCATCTTTAAGTTACTGAAAGTATACACAGGGCTGGGCACTGTGGCACACACCTGTAACCTCAGCACTCAGGAGGCTGACGTAAGAGGACTGACATGAGGGTGAGGTAGGCCTAGGCTCTCTAGTGAGTTCAAGGCTCTCTTGAACTGTGATGCCCCCACCTCAAAAAAATAAACTTTTAAAAGTATATGTAGGGCCAGGGAGATAGCTCAGTGGAATAAGTGCTTGCCTGGTAAGCACAAGGTCCTGCATTCAATCCCCAGTACCACAAAAAAAAAAAAAAAAGTATATGTAAAAAATTTAAATGGCCTTCTGAGGAGTCAGAGCTAATTTGTGGTTCCTGCGAAATGATGTGCTAAATTACAGTAGCTTAAATTTTTTAAGAAAATTAAAAAGAACTTTATTCATGCAAAGTAGGCAATATTGCTCATAACATAAATTAAGTGACAAGGAAAATACAACTTACTCGCATGTATGCGATGACATAGGTCAGCAAATAACCTCTCTGTCCATTATCTTCCCCAGCTGCTAATCCACTGTAATTTATAAAAAAATTACTAGGTTTTAAATGAACGATTTAAAATACATAAAACTAACTAGATTGATGGTACTTCAAAATAACTGCCGACAGATGAACATTCCATTCCATTTCATTTTTATCTTACTCATTTTTATCAAAAAAGTATCAAGAAAATAAGCTTGGATAACAAAAATCTAAAAACATTACTATGCCAGTCTAAATATTATTTTGAACTTTCACTATCACACTAATAAAACTGATTCAAGTCAACTACATCTCATATTATCAATGAGGCAGAAAAAGAATTAGTCATGAAAAACAAGCTTAAATTTACTATTCAAAATCATAGCAAAACAACTTTAAAATATTTTTACTTTATTCTTTTAAGTTAAACAACTCTATCTGAAAATCTGAAATGTTTCAAAAGCCAATGCTTTCTGTGTGTCTACAGGATGCCACAGTGGAAAGTTCCATACCTGATGTCATGTGAGGGAACCAAGTTAAAGTAGAGGTGCACCAAAAAGAAAATTCCCTTTAGACTATGTATAAAGATATCTATAATGCATAAATGAACTGTGCATAGACTTGGGGTCCATTTTCAAGATATCTTACTATGTCTTTGCCAGTATTCCAAATTTTGAAAAACTAAAATGTGAGACACTTCTGGTCCCAAGCATTTCAGATAAGGATACTCAACTTGTGCCATATCTTTAGTCATATTATAATCTTATTCATATGTAGGGACTGGGATAATGAGCTATAAAGTCCCAAATACCAGAAAGTTTCTTGAACACTTAAGCATACAAGGGGCATGGCCAGAGAACCACGGTGGGGCTTGAGGCGCAGAGCCAGAGAGGCACAAACTAACTGTTAAAGTGACAGCATGTGCTTCCTACCTGGCCCCTGACCTTTCTTGGGAGGTATGGAGCAGATCATCCTCCACATCATGGAGCCCCAGCCTCTCTTCCAGACCTTGTAGCACGTGATGGCAGTGTCTCGAGGTCTTACTATGTAATTCAGGATGCTTTAAACTATGAAACTTCCAGTGACTGTGAGCTAAATAAAACCTTTCCTTCCCTAAGCTTGAGTGTCGGGTATTTGTCCCAGCAACAAGAGAAAAGTAACTAAGACACTCCTCATTTCACATAATTAAATTCTTTTTTTTTCTGAAGTTTTGCTACACTTAAAGCTAAATAAGTAATACACTGTAGATAAATGCTTGTTCTATAGAAATGCTTGAAAACAATTTGAGGGTAGAATATACAAGCTAAATAAGAACTTCTTGCTTGACTACTACAGACATATGTGTACAACACTGCCATCCGCAGGAGTGGATAAAACTTGTTAGAAGCAGGTTTAGTCTAGAACTACATCAGGACAACTACAATCAAATGAGGGAGATTGTATTACTAGAATGTTAATAAGCCAACAAGAAAGAACTTAGGTTAAGTTGTCTGAAAGTGAAGATACATCAATTCTTGATGGAAGAGGTTAAAGGTAGCACAAAATAGTGTTTTGAAAAAGAGCCAGGATTTTGCAATAGTAAGTGCTTGTACAAAGACAGCAGAAACCAGCTTAGATATGAAACAGAATCAAGAAAAATCCATTATAGATCTAGGAAATAATTATGATTCATCCTGGACCTAGAAGGAGAAGGAAAGGAAAAGAGATTTAAATCTACAAAAAGAAACAATAAACCTATGCTGAGAATCTTTGAAAAGGAACATGCTCAGTGTGTTTAGTTTAGTAGGCCTGTTTTCATTACATCAGGATGAGACTGTCCTCCTTTTCCTCTCCCAGGTCAAGCTACCTTCTTTAGATTATGTTATAACATCTGGGGGAGAAAGAGCTGCATATTGAAACCCATAGGACAAACACAGAAACCCATGCATTTAAAAAATCTAAAGCAGAAAGAAACTACAACTGGATATCCATTCTAATTTATAAACTCAAAAGAAGAAAAGTAAATCTGGGCTTGCTTTTCTGAATCAAGTTTTCCTTTAAATTCAGCCTTTTGGAGTTTTTTTTAAAGCTTTTAAAGCTGTCAGACTTATAGCTAGAATTACCTTAAAATATAGTATGTAAACAATCCCAAGGCTTGGAAATTAAGTGCTTCTATATCACCTCTTCTGCAGCCACTCCAAAAAACTACACTCAGATTCAAAGTGCTTTAAGTGGGAACATGCACCTCCTACTTGTGTTCTCCCCACAAACTTCAAACCTCAATTCACAAGGTTCTGAAATTGAAAGCTATTCCATGAGGAAAGAGAGGAAGACTAATGAAAGAGGAATGAGATAATCATTTCATATAAAAGGGCCATCTGGGGAACCTAATCACTCACATTAGATTATGTTAAACAACTTAAGCATACTTTAAAAATAACGTATTACCTTCAGTTCTATGGTAAATGTCAAAACACCTGTCATGAGTGCTGACAGGTAGTGTTTATTCTGCTCAGTTCTTAGCAAAGTAAAAGTGGCAAACATGGATAAACAATGGATGTATGACTTGAGTATGATTACTCAATGTCTGGCTACTATGTTCTGTTGGGTCATCCATGTGTTCAAAAGTATTAAAAAATGTTGGGTGAGGGAGTGAAGGGCCAAGACAACACAGAAAAATACTCTGAACTGTTGAGAGAATATGTTTCTAAAAGCAATTAACTTAATCTAACAAGCAATGGGAACAGAAGGAAAACAAAGGAAAAGGAAAGGAAATGAAGGATAGGTTAATAATGCCTAGTTAGGGCTGGCCAGAGAACTCGGCAGATTAAAGCACCTGCTTAGGCAGATGCAGGGGACAGGGCTTCAATCCCAGCTGGCCCCACCCCCAAGGCGTACTGAGACAGCCATTGAGACTGGGTGTGGTGGAGCGCACTGGTAATCCCAGCATGTGGGAGGTTGAAAAACAGGAAGGATCGCTACAAGTCCGATCTGTGTGACCCTGTACTTAATACATAAAAATTAAAATTAAATACATTAGAGAAACATATAAAAACTTTAAAGAAATGTCACAATACTTTCCTCCAAACTATTAAGCAAAAAGCAAAATGACTGAAGATTCAGGATTGAGCACGGCAGTGACCTTTTAAATAAGAAAAGTATCTCCAAGTCATCAATAATCAGAACAAAAAATTACTATCTAGATATACTAATGGGAGGGGAGGTGCAACCAGACCTCCACTAGAAAACCTGAAGGTGCTTCCAGTTTCCAAGTATTAAAAAATCAAAACTGGCCTAAATCATTTCCCTATGAAAATTTGTTGTTAAAAACAGATTTTCTTACCTAAATGAGGGAACACAAAATTAAAGTACATTACAGTTTTAAGTATAACAAGGAGTAAATGAAAGCCGAAATGGGACCCCAATCTGGGTAAATTTTTTTTAATATGTAATGTTTGCTTTTTTTTGTTTTGTTGCCAGAGTAATCTTTGCTTTAAACTGATGTCTTATTTACTAAATATCTTTAACGAGTAAAAATTACATAAGCTTTATTTAGAGCAATCAAAACTGCTGGAGTGAAACCAATGGCTCTGGGACCTAGTATCGATATCTGAAGACAGATAGATCTAGTATCTTAAAGAACTGAATTTATTTTTATATTGTGAATGGTTACATAGGAAAACCAAACTGACATTAATGATATTGACAAGGCCTCAAATTAAAACTGACAAATATCTAAACATTGAAACCCATTTTCTTTAATTAGAAGTAAATGAAATACCAAAAAAAAAAAAAAAAAAAGATACAAGGAAAAAGCACATTCCTCAGCTTAATTCATTTGGCAAAAATTTAACCAAGCACTTAGTTTGTTCCAGGCATTGTCAATGATCCCCAAGAAGACATATATCATGCTCTATAATCATACATAAGGTAAAACAGCACTTTTTACAATCAACCTACCCCTATTCAAACAGGAAATGTGGCATAGTACTAACTAGTAATGACTGGTTAGCTGCTCTAAATGCTAATTATTCACACACGCTAGGAGTAGGGAAAGAATGAGGGTAAAACTAAGTGAATTTAATTTTCTATCAGTGATTCAAACGCTACAGAAAACTGTCCTCTTGAATTTCCCCCAAATCCTTCTGGAAAATACTACAATCCCAATCAAATATGTAAACATATAAGAAAAACAATTTTTTTCAAGTTCCAGTCCCTAATATTTAAGGCTAGAGCAAACAAAAGATTTCAATTTAAATTCCTTTACTTTTTTCTGACTCAGACCATGAATGGAAGGGAAAAAAGCCTTATAACCATATTATTCATACAACTTAAGAAATGAAAAATTTGGTACATACAGTACTAAACTCCTTCTGAGGAAAAAAAAATTTGCATTTCAAAAATTCAAACAAAAAAGATGATTTGAATTCTAAGCCACTCAATCATTAAATGAATCTTTGTAACATGATTACTTTAAAATAGTTTAGTTAAAACAAAGTAATTCCAAAATAAGATGATATGGAAAGAAAGAATTTGAAAGGCTAGCAAACTTCATAGTTTACTAAAGAAATTAAAACACACTTGCCAATTTTAAAATACAATAAAACTGATATATTACTTTTTAATACTTAAGCAGTATAAAAATGAACGATTAAGTTTAAGGTCACATATTATTCCACACTGTACTTAAATTCAAACAATCCTGGAACTTTGAAAGTTAAGAAGGAAATAAAAAGTGGAGCACTGAAAAACACACAGCTCCAAGTTTTTTTTAAAGAAAGGGGATAGAACAGCAGCAAATATTTGCAGAGAATTCACACCAAGCATAATGGATATGATATAGTCTATCCTAAAATAAAAAAGGTAATGACTAATACCTAAAGAACAGTTTGTGTACTTTAAAAGAAGAAAAAAAAAATGCAGTCCTGATAAATGGCATTTCCACTATAGTTCTCATCAATCAATCTTATAATTCATCAAGCAGACAGACAGGAACCACCCTATCATTACTCAGTAGGTTATATGTGTGAAATGTTTTCTGTTTCTTTATACCAGAACAAAACAGTAAGTGACAGGAGGTGGAGTACAGACAATTAATCAAATATCATGGATTAAATATAATTTCCTTTTAAAAAGACTAATAGCATCATGTTTTATACATACTCTATTTTCACTGAAGAATAACATGACAATGAATATTTTCCTATTTTATTCTAACATCATAAACAAATTACAATAGATATTAGCATAAAAATCTAAACAATGAAATATTTAATATACAAATATATAATTAGACAAGAGCAATACACATTAACTTACTATAAATGTTAGACATAAAATAGTATTTTAAATTTGATATCATAAAATACCACAAATTTAATACTAAATTTAAATTAATAACTGTCTGGAGACAAGCCAACTGTTTAGAGACATTAATACCTGGCACATTAATAAATGTTTGGAGACAACATAATTTTAGATTTTCTCTTGATAGATAATATGAACTTAAAACCATACCCAAATTTTGCAGCAATGTCATACACTTGTTTTTCATGTTGAAGAACCTTCTCACGGTCCCCTTCAAACAATAATGTAGCTACACTTAGCTGATTTAGATCAAATCCCTTAAACTAAAAAAAAAAAAGCAAAACATTTTTAGTGCAGATAAATTTTATTGGGCAAAAGAGCAAATCAAACACATTTTCCTTTTCCTTCTGACCTGAGCTCTACTATACCAACTTGAAAACCGAGCTTCGGAACTTTACGTGTCAATCAACAAGATGCTTAATGCACCTACTAAGGCCATTACAATGCAGCAAATTATACAGTATAGGAAAAAATCTTCCAAATAAGCCATGGTGTTAATCAACAATGACACTGGCAAGCAAACACAAGTAATAATTTGTCAGAAATATTTATTTTTAATCATTTATTTACTTATTTATTGGGTACAGGGTCTTGCTACACAGCTTGGACTCATAGTGATCCTCCTGTCTCAGCCTCCCCAGTGCTGGGTTTACAGGCATGCCCCACTACACTCAGATTCTGTGGCTCAGCACACCCAGGGCCAGCATGACGTGGTAGCTAGGATCGAACCCAGGTCCTTGCGCTTGCAAGGCAGGAGCTTAAGACCACTGAGGTTTCTCCCCAGCCCCAGAATTTTAATTCTAAAAAAGAATCAAATAAAAAGTACTAGATGATAGAAGAAAGCAGCTGGTGTAAGGGGAGGGAAAGACCCACAACAACTCAATTTATCAATAACTTTCTAAGTAATATTTTTCAAAAGAAATTTTGTACATAATATTAAAAGAACTAAGACTAAAGATATAAATTCATTATGAAAACATGTTTAAGAAAAGAAACATGGGGCCAGCCAAATAACTCAGCAGATTGAAGCACCTGCAAGCAGGCACAGGGGCCAGGGGTTCAATCCCTGGGCCTGCCATGCTGGCCCTGCCCTGGGGCACACTGAGATGGCAATTGAGACTGGGCATAGTGGTGTGCGCCTGTAATCCCAGCTCTTGAGAGGCTATAAACAGGCGGATCACTACAAGTCCGATCTAGCAGTGAGACCCTAAACACCCTGTAGACACTTCCCTAAAATACAAAAAAAGAAAAAAGAAAAGAAAGAAACATGCCCATGAATGCATTAACTCAGTATTATATACCTATCAATACTTGACTAAATTAATACTAAAGTATTCCAAATCTAATGGACTTTTGAAATGAGTAATTTCTTAAATAATAAGCAGTGATGGGATGACAATGAAGTTCTGAATAGCAAGACGGAAAATAGACTTACAACAACTACATCAGTTCAATTTTTCAAGAATAAAAAGGTAACTAAAAAGAATCAAATACATTAAAATGGGGTACATTTCTTGGATAAGTACTATGTAAAATGACTTAGGCATGGCAAATCAATGTAAGTGAAGCAAGGGTTATCCAGTTAATGGTGATGACACAACCAGTTGGCAGTTAGGTAGCAAGAGGAAGTAAAGATTAATGTAGATATTTACACATGTTATAAAATTAAAATAAGTTTAAATAATACAGAAAGAAAATAATTTCCATTTAACTCAAGAGATGGAGAGACCCTCATAATTTCTCTGGAGAAAAGAAGACCTTCTAAGCTAGAAGCAAATAATCACAATAAAAGAAATAAAAATAAGAGACATTACCACTATGGAAGAAAACGTCATATTACTAGAAACTTACTCCTGGTTCCACCAAAAAAAAGAAGAAACACTTACTTACAAAATGTATGAGGAGCAGCTAATAATTTATTTATTTTATTTTATTTACTTATTTATTTTTTTGTGGTACTGGGGATTGAACTCAGTTCTATCTTGAGTTCTATCTCCCTGGTCCATAATTCTATCAGTAAAAGGCTCCAAACCAAAGCACCAAGAAGAAACAAGATTCTGTCATCCTCACAAAATAATCATACCCAACTAATTCACATGAAAATTACATCTAAAAAATAATGAAAAGTTCAGTCTCACTGAGATTTAAGAAATACCAATGAAAGCAAAGTGCTGCATCCCCCAGCTAAGTTTAAATCATAATATAGCAAAATGATTAAAAAGAAAAAAAACTACATGTACTAATAAGGCTATATCAAACAAAAAATGACACATTTGTATTTCTGGTGGTGGTACAAGTTAGTATAACCTTCTAGGACAGCAATTCAGTGGTCAAAGGTTAAAACAAAAATCCATACTCTTAGAAAATGTTGTAAGAATAAGACTACTTAATGGAGTATTATTTTTTAGAAACTCAAACCAGAAAGAGAAAATTTCTAAATTGGAAGGCATGACTCACTTGACAAAATATTACTCCAACATAAAAAGCATAAAATACTGATTATAAAAAATAAGCAACATGGAAAAGCATCCTAATAATGGCTGTGAGGGGAAGAAGGAAGAAACAAAATTAATATAGTATACTACATACTTAAAATTGGTGCATTTTATAAAAATTCTTACCTTTGTAATATAGAACTTTTTCAACCCATCCACAAATGAAGTAAAAATAGAAGAAACCTGAGGTTTAAGAGCATAACCTACAAGAGAAAAAGATTATATATTAAATTAACAGCAAAAGGCTACTTCAACTTAATATCCTAAGTTTAAGGTTTTATGACTAATTTTAATTTATATATAATCTTTTAAAAGTCACAAACATATTTATTTACAAAACCCATTCTCAGTTAAGTCAAATTACTATATGTAATTAATGCTATACATAGTTTATCATTCAATACAGTTTATATACAGTAAAATTACTCCACTAATTTTTATTTTATTAAGAACATCCAGTAGCAGGTGATTTTACTTTTTAATTATATACTTATAACTATAACCACATAAGGAGTTGATGCAAAGTTTAAGGATGTTTCTTAATTCTTAACTCATGCAGAATTCTTGGCATAAAACTAGCAACTGCTTCCTTAATCACACCCAGAGAGTTGAAATTGCCAAAATAACATAAGTGGTGTCTCAGAGTCTGTTAAATTAACATCATTGCCTGCAGATTAGGTTTAGTTGAGTGAAAAGCTTTTACTGTTTTCTCATTGTTTTCAGAGAGCAGCAACATCTCAATTCCCATGACTGTTACATTTAAGAGTCATGCATCTGGCTGTGGAGCTATGAGTTTGACTCAGAAAAATGTGGCATATCATTTATACAGAATTTTTATAAAGAAATTTTGAAGTATTTAGTAAATCTAAAATTATCTCCAAATAAAAAGTTTATTTTTTAAAAAAGGCTTTGAAGATTTGGATTTTGCTTATTCTAAAATATAGGGCTTTCCTACCTATTTCCTTAAAATAAATGCAAACAGCAAACAAGCTGTTTCTACAGCAACACCTATTCCTGGTAGTCTTTTATTTCTTGACCTATTTTTAAAATTGAGAATCTGAATCTATAATATTTACCACAGTTTTGCTTATTATAATAGGAAGCTGTGTTACACGAAAGACCAGAGGATATCTTACCCAGAAGCTAAGAGTTAGATTATTATGCTATCACTGAGTTACAGAAACATATCAACAATCAAATAAAACAAATTGCAGATTAGACAGAGATCAATCTAGCAATCTTCTTAATCCTAGATCAAAAACAAAAGATCTGATTTAGTTTTTTATTCTAACCTACCAGAGATTCTTCTCTAGCACAACCAGTGTTTTAAAAAAGATAACCATTTCTAGCATATATAGTTAGAAATAATATATCATCTAACATCCACTTTCTGTACCAAATGGAACTAATCTACATAAACAACTTGAAATAATATAAATGTGTGGAGTATGCATTGTGCTCTTTCAAAAAGAAATGGAAATTATACTACATAGCAAAGTCTTCTAATCCACATCTTCCTCTAATACTTAAAAGACTCCAAATGTTACTACTATAATATGAAATAATCCTTAAAAGAAAATGTTCACGTTAACCCACTGACATTTATGTGCATAATTTCCATTTTACTAATGGAATTAATCACATATATTGCCAATACTGAGCTAATGTGAGCTTTGAAGAATTTTATTGTGAAAGTGATACTGGCTTTTAAGTATGTCAAGCAAAGAAGCAGTCTGAGACAACAGAAAAAGTCTTGGGCTTTGGAATCAGATTGAATTGAATCTCAGTTGTACCAGACAAAGTCGTGATATTAAAAATATTAACAACTAATAAAAACAGCCTGTACTTTACAAATAGAGATGAATCATCAAAATGGCTTTCTGCAGAGTTCTGATACCTCTGAGTTAACCACTATTCCTTTGGTTGCCTGAACATAAAGTCATGACAATAAGTTGTTCATGGAAAGAGTTCAAAGGACACTTAGGAATGTAATAGGTCATAGTCAACCAAGAAGCACCGGATCTGTATGACAATGGTAGCTCACTAAAGGGCAGAGGGAGAGAAGGCACAGTCAAGACTGGGGCCTACCATGGAGCTATAAGAGCATAGGTAAGTATGCCTTAAGTATAACAGTGCAAACGACAACAAGGATGAAAGTCAATTCTCACTAGATCCCAACTATAAATACAATCAATAAAGTGTGTTCAAATTACAGCTAATATTACAAAGGTTGCCATGTATGACATGATTTACTGAAACATTAACAGATGAACATATAACATGTTTCCCAATCTACATGCCTAAATGCAGGCCCAAACAACAAAAGGCATGATTTGCATTCAAATATCTCATTATTTACAGGACAAATTTACTGTTAACTTCTATCAAAACTATATTTTTTCTGTTTTTTTGTTTTAACAACATTTTTATTGTTGTTTTAATTTACAGGGTCTCATTATACAGCTTGGACTCGTGATCCTCCTGTTACAGTCTCCCCAGCACTGGGATTACAAGCATGCACCGCCACACCCAGTTCCGTTGGCCCAAGGCTGGCAAGGCATGTGGTACCGGGAGTCACTGAACACCAGTCCTGGCACTTGCCTGAACAGGCACTTGGGCCACTGAGCTATCTCCATGGCCCAATGAAAACTACTGTTTTGAAAGTAATTTACTTAAAGAACTAAGTAACTGTGACCAACTTAGAATAATTTAATTTAAAAACTACCTCTGGATATATTATGGACTTTACTTCCTTAGTTTATATATTCTCTCCTAAATAAAATCTAAACTATTCTAAGATATGACAATCAAAATTTTCCTGTCTTAACCTTTAGTATTTATTACTGAGCAATCATTTCCATAATAACAGGAACTATTTTGAAGGTATTTAAGTTCTATAAACTTAAATTCCAAAGTATATATCTGCATATGAAAAGTATATGAGGGCAATAAAAATACAACTGAAAATATGATTAATAAATGATGCTGAAAGTGTAATGCCTTAGCCAAAATAGAAAAAGAAAAATGTTTTGAGACACAACTACCTACCACATTCTCCACCCAAATATCCACTATAGTATTATATATAATACAGTATTAGATTTCTTCCTCAGACAGCAGCATTTTACTTCTGTATTTTTAATCCACCCAATCAAAATTTTGGGGTTGTCCTCAATTATTCCTTTTATTCAACCTTCCATATCCCTATGGTTAGCTGACTTTTTAAAAATCTATAGTCTCTACTTCCATTAGTACTTCTTCAAAGTACATCTGGACCCCAAATTTACCTCTTCAATTCTCTCACCTCCTAGCATCTCTTCCAGTCTAAATCCTTCTAATGTATCCTGAGCAATACTGCCAGAATGAGCTTTCTATACTACAGCTGACTGATCTCATCCCCTCGACAAAGAAACCCTACTGCTGACAAGATAAAATCTAGTCCTATATTGCGAAGTCCAAAATGGTCCAATCAACTTCCTCTCATATAACATTCTTTACTTACTCTCTGGTTGAGGCACAGAGCCCTACTCGAAAACCCACGACATGCCACAGAGGCTTCCCAACTTCTCAGTTTTGCTGACAAATAAATGTATTTGGTAGCAGTTCTAGAAGAAAAGACAATCTCCAGCAAACCTTCAGCTCATCTTTGAAGACTGAGTTCAAGAATAAATCTCCTTCATTCATTATTGGAACTGTCCTACCAATTTGATTTGAAACTGTCTCATTGCTATTTATTTCTCCATAAAATTATGGAAAAAAATAAATTAAAAAAAAGAATAAACCTCCTTCAAAAGCCTTTTTTGGACTGTCCACTCCCTAATTTGAGCAAAACCAAACAGAATGAGGCCTCCTTCACAAAGGGCACCTAGGGCAGCTACATTCTTCACCACCTGTGTAACTGTCTCCCTCAGTGCATGGCTTCATCCCAACGAGACTGAGATATTCAGCTTTCTAGCTTTGCAAGTCTGGGACTTAATAAGAAGATTCTAAAATCACCACTCCACACTTACCAAACTGAAATTGCTTGTTGTCCATGAGGCGGATAGACGCAGGAGCACATCTCTATTTAAAGACGGAAAAAATTATGGTACTCATTAAATACAGTAAAAACCTAGACATGTAGAACACAAATGCCATCTTTTGTATATAAAAAGATCAAGAATTTAGTTCTTAAATATATACAGAAGAAAAGAATCTTAACATATATATATACATAAAATTTCATAACAAATAAAACATCAGTAGCTTCTATACATATGGAGAGAAGCTTCCATATGTAAGAAAGCCTCAAAAAATATACCATTTATCAACTATATTAAATTCTTGCATTTAAAATGAAGCAATGGTGGTGAAAATTTTCATGTACTGAAAGAACTTTAAAAATTATCATGACTTTACAAATAACTTTAGCAATATTTCCCTCTTTTTATTCTCATAATCCATTTTAAACAGAAAATGCATCAAGTATCCAGATTACTAAATTCTTTCTAAGTCTTTTTATGAAAACAGCAATGAAACTGTGAAGATTAAAAATATATAAAAGAATCAAAAACTGCACCATTGTTGTATTTATTCAGGCTAAAAGTTGCAAGGAAATTAAACAGAAAAGCACATACAGATTGAACTTTACTAATCCAAAAAATCTGAAGTCTAAAATTCTCCAATATCCCAAACACTTCAAGCTCTGCCTTGTCATGTAAAGTGTTCCAGCTTCTGTAGCACTTGGATTCCCAGATCAGGGATGCTTGACTGCTAAATAAACATTTTAAAGTCTGAAAAATTCCAAAATCTGAAACACTTCTCATCCCCAGCATTTTGGGTAAGGTATATTCAACCTACACTCTTGATGATAGAATACAACAACACAAACTCTAACAAGGTTCCAGTTAGCTTCATTTTCTCCACAGATTTGAAGTAAGTAAGCTGAACCTCAAACAAGATATTAATTTTCTACTCAAATTTAAACATAACTGAAGTTTTATAAGAGGTTGCTTTCAGACCACAAAATGTGGACAAATTCCATGAACTTTTAAAGCACTTGTCATATTTGTCAATAAAATCTGTATCAACACAAATGTGACACTCAAAACAATACATATGTTAAATGTATCAAAACATTTTACTACCATTTGCTTTTAATTGAACATCTCTCATAAAAAACATAATGCAAATTTAATTTCACCCAATGAAAAGACAAAATATAATTCTGATTTTGAAGGCTACACAATTTATTTACTCCCCTATTTATTTTCCCTTTGATTCTAAAAATAGGATAATTCATTTTTTAAAATGCACTGCCAAGACTTAAGAAACTGTACTAGGTGATCATATAT